CCCCCAAGGGCTGTAGGGTGGGGCTCAAAGGAGTCAGTGTGCTAAAATTTCTTCATTTTCCTTGTTAAGAATCAGAGGTGCTAGTTTCAAATCCTTTTTAGTCCGAAATCTGTATGCTAGATATTGAATAAGGTGGTTTTATTGTTTTTTGTCACTTTGAATAATATTTCTGTTCATGTTAAAAACAAAATCAACTCTCTGTATAAATATATCAGGTGACCGTTAAGGCCCATGGGCCTCTTGTTTATCTAGCCCCTACAGGGGCAACAAGCAGCCGGAATGTGTGTGTGTGTGTGTGTGTGTGTGTGTGTGTGTGTGTGTGTGTGTGTGTGTGTGTGTGTGTGTGTGTGTGTGTGTGTGTGTGTGTGTGTGTGTGTGTGTGTGTGTGTGTGTGTGTGTGTGTGTGTGTGTGTGTGTGTGTGTGTGTGTGTGTGTGTGTGTGTGTGTGTGTGTGTGTGTGTGTGTGTGTGTGTGTGTGTGTGTGTGTGTGTGTGTGTGTGTAGGGGGGGGGATTAGTTAACCCATAGGCGACAGGTCTAGTTTACAGCTGAGTAGACTCGAACAAGCAGAGTTAAGTATCTTGCTCAAAGATACAACACTGTGCCATGCTGTGACTTGAACCCACAACCCTTTGGTCACAAGCCCCGCTTCCTACCACAAGACTACCGTGCTTCCTTAAAAAAAAATCTTTAAATGTATTTCTTATTGATGTCTTATTTTTAGGCAGTATAGAGAGTGTTGAAGCGTATTTACTGCTGAAGGACATCAAAGTGTTGAGTGTGTACGAGAAACAGTCACAGACTCTTCTCCACCCATGCACTGTCACAGTGGACGCCGTCATGGAATGGTACAAGAACTCTGATTGGCAGTCGCACATCTCTACAATGTCGGCTACCATAACAACAGGTCTTGTGACAGTTACTCTTGGTCAAGAGCATTTCATGTGTTTTACAAGCCTACAAGAACAGCTGAAGAGGATGTTAAAGGTAATCCACTTGACTTACTGAGGTCAAACAACTGTGTGATAGCTAACATTGTCTAACATTGTTTGATCCCACAACTGTACTTTTAATTATATGTGTATTCAGAAAAAGATGATCGAAATAACATTAATCTTAGGATGTAAGTTGCAAACTGTCTGAAAATTTCACAAAGGTGATGCTGAAGGTACCCAACTCACTTTCCACTCAGTAACATTATACTGACAACGGGTAAACTAGTTTTTGGCATTACCGTAAATGCTGAATGTTAAGAAGGGAATAATAACTAGCATTTTTAAGGACTTTGGTATGTCCCAGCCGAGGGCGACAGAACCCATTCTCTACTCCATTTAGGCAACACTCAACACTAGGGCCAGAAAATATAAAGATCCCTTATGTTGCATTAGGGGCAGCCAATCAATTGTGGTTTCTTCAACATCCCCTCAGCTTGAGGCCCCACAACGTCCCCTCAGCTTGAGGCCCCACAGTAGTTGTGGTTTCTTCAACATCCCCTCAGCTTGAGGCCCCACAACGTCCCCTCAGCTTGAGGCCCCACAGTAGTTGTGGTTTCTTCAACGTCCCCTCAGCTTGAGGCCCCACAACGTCCCCTCAGCTTGAGGCCCCACAGTAGTTGTGGTTTCTTCAACGTCCCCTCAGCTTGAGGCCCCACAACGTCCCCTCAGCTTGAGGCCCCACAGTAGTTGTGGTTTCTTCAACGTCCCCTCAGCTTGAGGCCCCACAACGTCCCCTCAGCTTGAGGCCCCACAGTAGTTGTGGTTTCTTCAACGTCCCCTCAGCTTGAGGCCCCACAACGTCCCCTCAGCTTGAGGCCCCACAGTAGTTGTGGTTTCTTCAACGTCCCCTCAGCTTGAGGCCCCACAACGTCCCCTCAGCTTGAGGCCCCACAGTAGTTGTGGTTTCTTCAACGTCCCCTCAGCTTGAGGCCCCACAACGTCCCCTCAGCTTGAGGCCCCACAGTAGTTGTGGTTTCTTCAGCGTCCCCTCAGCTTGAGGCCCCACAACGTCCCCTCAGCTTGAGGCCCCACAACGTCCCCTCAGCTTGAGGCCCCACAACGTCCCCTCAGCTTGAGGCCCCACAACGTCCCCTCAGCTTGAGGCCCCACAACGTCCCCTCAGCTTGAGGCCCCACAACGTCCCCTCAGCTTGAGGCCCCACAACGTCCCCTCAGCTTGAGGCCCCACAACGTCCCCTCAGCTTGAGGCCCCACAGTAGTTGTGGTTTCTTCAACGTCCCCTCAGCTTGAGGCCCCACAACATCCCCTCAGCTTGAGGCCCCACAACGTCCCCTCAGCTTGAGGCCCCACAGTAGTTGTGGTTTCTTCAACGTCCCCTCAGCTTGAGGCCCCACAACATCCCCTCAGCTTGAGGCCCCACAACGTCCCCTCAGCTTGAGGCCCCACAGTAGTTGTGGTTTCTTCATCGTCCCCTCAGCTTGAGGCCCCACAACGTCACCTCAGCTTGAGGCCCCACAACGTCCCCTCAGCTTGAGGCCCCACAACATCCCCTCAGCTTGAGGCCCCACAACGTCCCCTTAGCTTGAGGCCCCACAGTAGTTGTGGTTTCTTCAACTTCCCCTCAGCTCGAGGCCCCAAAGTCCCCTCAGCTTGAGGCCCCACAACGTCCCCTCAGCTTGAGGCCCCACAACATCCCCTCAGCTTGAGGCCCCACAACGTCCCCTCAGCTTGAGGCCCCACAGTAGTTGTGGTTTCTTCAACGTCCCCTCAGCTTGAGGCCCCACAATGCCCCTCAGCTTGAGGCCCCACAGTAGTTACAACATGTTTGGGGCTACAGCAGGCCTTCTCTTCCCCCAAACCTACAGAAAATTAACAAAGTTGAAATATAACGTTGATGAAATAATATGTGTCTTCAATAAAGCTAATGGCTAGTCTAATATGAGGCCATGATTTGCATACTATTACGAAATTTAACGAAAAAAATATATATTGATAGTAAAATGTAACAAATAGATGTGAAGATAACGAAGTTTTATCTGAGGAAGTTTGCCATATTTACTTCCTGTCTTGTAATATTTGTTTAGAAAAACCGAAAGGCCAAGGGAAAATTTCCTTATAAAGAAAGTTCAACGTCAAAAACAAAAGAAACAAAAATGGAAAAGGATGAGGATCTGATCCTGGAGCAGACTACTGATGATCTGCGATCAGGACAGTTTCAGTATGTCCAAAATCCAGGTTTGTACTCATTGTTTAGTTCCCTTTGTATGCCCCACCACCATTGTGTTGGTTAATGTCCGCCCATCTGAACAACACTTTGTAAGACTTTGCGTTCACCTCCATTTCCTCTGATACAAAGGTTTCCATAAAGATCAATAAACATATGCAGGCACATCTTGTTGAGCATGAAATAATTGTATGAAATGTTGGTCACTGTGACCTATATTTTCTGCTTCACTAATATTGATTTAGACATCGTACTAAGCTCAACTTTTCTCTGATACTAAAATTCTCACAAACAAAGGCTTAATGGTTTGGGCAAGTTTATTATATGTTTTGTATATAACTGAAGATGGATAAAAATCCAAAGTGCATGATATGTTGAAAATATTGAAAGTAATATTACCATTTATCATATGAATACCCTGTTATGAAGTGTCATGCATAAAGCCATCACATCAGTTATGTAAAGTGTGTAATATCACTCAGGAAATGAGGTCACAATCGAATAGGAAGAATCAATGTGACAACACGTCATTGTGAATATTCGTTTCAGATCACAATTATACAGTTTACTTTGTATTATATGAGATAAAAAGAATCTGTAATTCTTTTTCCCTTCATATTAGATTAGCCACGAGGCTCGCAAACATGAAAAATCCAAAACTTGTATCATAAATCCAAAACTTGTATCATAAATCCAAAACTTGTATCATAAATCCATTATGAAGGGAAACTCATGACAGATCCTCTATATATTTCTAGTAACATGCCCTTGGTAATAATCCAACCCATGTCAAATACAGCTCATTAGAATACAAAAACATTCTATTTCATTGTTCTGCAATAGGCACGCCCCATACCCTGAGTTGATGTGCTGGTCCGCCTGGGTTAGTGCATGGTAGATACAGTACATTGTGTGTTATGTTGCAGATCTCACTTTGTTATTATGTTCCAGATCCTGATGTGGAGGCTGGTTCAGGGGAGATAACTTTTTGTAGTCGTGACAGTGCTGGGAACAGCTTGATGACATGGTGTTATGACGAGCCAAGAGTTATCTCCCATGTTAGCTTTACGCCAATTCCTTTTAACGTGCCCCGCGAAGTCAGGGCCATGGGGGAGTCAGGAACACTGGTAGGTCATTGTCAGGTATATCATTTAACATAGGAATACTAGTCTACCATCCAGTATAAAGAATATTGCAAAATGTTCATTAGGGCCTAGTATCGGAGATACGGGTGCCCTATAGTAATCACTCTGTCTGTCTGTCTGTCCGTCCACAAATTTTGTTCCTGGCTGATAACTTTGGTATTTATTGACCGATGTACATGAAACTTGGTCAAGATGTTCAGTTCACAAAAATACACATTGAGGTAAAAAGTCAAGGTCAAAGGTCAAGGTTAAATTTTGTATCTTTTCACTGGTGAACATTTTGGTATGACACTATGAAGCAATATTGCTCAGAATTAAACAAGGAGTCAACTGACCAAAGGTCAAGGTCATCGGGTCAGGGGTCAAGTTCAAATTTTGTACCTTTTCACTAATGAGCATTTTATGACATTATGAAGAATAGTTGTTCGGAACTACACAAAGAGACACACTGAGGTAAAAAGTTGAGGTCAATGGATAAGGTCATTAGATTCAAAGGTCAAGGTCAAATTTTGCATCTTTTCACTGATGAACATTTTGTTATGACATGATGAAGCAAAGTTGATCAAAATTAACATGGAGTCAACCTGACCAAATGTAAAGGTCATTGGGTCAAAGGTCAAGGTTAAATTTTGTATCTTTTCACTGTTGAACATTTTGGTATGACACTTTGAAGCAATGATGCTCAGAATTAAACAAGGAGTCTACTGACCAAAGGTCAAGGTCATCGGGTCAAGGGTCAAAGTCAAATTTTCTAGCATTTCACTAATGTGCATTTTATGACATTACGAAGCAAAGTCGGTCCGAATTTAAAAAGGAGTCAACTGACTTAAGGTCAAGGTCATTTTATGTTATTATGTATCAAACTTGTTCAGAACTTAACACAGAGTCAATTGACCTTAGGTCCAGGTTTTGTGTTTTTCACTGATGAACATTTTGTTATGATATTATGAAGCAAAGTTGGTCGGAATTAAAGAATAAGTCAACTGACCACAGACCAGGGTCACTGAGTTAATGGTCAAGGTCATTTGGGTCCAAAGGTCAAAGACAAAGTGGATCTCTGAATTTGACCCTGGCTCTTGATGGAGGAGGTGTATAAGGTGAAATAAAACAAATCAAAGCTAACAACTGAGTATTGCACCGGTATTTACATTTCTGTTAGCCCAGCAAATATGGAGGTGGAAGGAAACAAGACTCACATCATAGTACATGTAAAATGTATATTTTGCTTCCTTGCGAGTCCAAATGTCAAACGTCAAGCTCAGCTATATGGGCAGATTGCTTCTTGATGATTATGGGGGATATATTGCCACAAGACGGGGCCCTTACTGACCTGTCAGTGTTCTAGTTTTTTATAAGGCCGTCTTTGACAGAAGTATTATGATATGGGGTTGTCCGTCCGTCCCGCGTAAACTTTTGTTTGTCTGGCAATCTCCTCCTACATTTTTTGACCGATCTCTTTGAAACTTAGTATACATTATAATCATGATATGAAGTTGTGTCTGTCGCCCCTAAAAGAATTTTGATTCAACAATTTTTCCAAAAGTTATTGCCTTTTGTTCATTTTGATTTTTTGTCCAGAGATCTTCTCCAACATTTTTTGACAGATTTCTTTGAAAATTAGAAGGCTAAATAATCATGATATGTTGTTGTGTTTACTTGAAAAGAATTTTGATTCAACAATTTTTGCAAGAGTAATTGCTCTTTGTTTATTTCGGTATTTGATTTTTGTCCGGCAATTTTCTCGTACATTTTTCAACGGATCTCTTTGAAACTTGGTATACATTGTAATCATGATATGAAGTTGTGTCTCTCCTAAAAGAATTTTGAATTAACAATTTTGCAAAAGTTCTAGCCTTTGTTCATTTCAGTATTTGATTTTTTGTCCGGAGATTTTCTCCTACATTTTTAGCTCACCGCCCGAAGGGCAAGTGAGCTTATGCCATGGTGCGGCGTCCGTCGTCCGTCTGTCCGGCATCAACTTTTTACTTTAAACAACTTCTTTTCAAGTAACCAATAGGCCTAGGATGATGATATTTGGCCAGTAGCATGCTGGGATCAAGGGCTACCAAGTTTGTTCAAATAAATGACATTGACCCACTTTCAAGGTCACAGGGGTCAAATATGTTAAAATCTTCAAACAACTTCTTCTCAATAACCAAAATGCTCAGGGTACTGATATTAGGCCTGTAGCATGCTGGAATGAAGGGCTTCCAAGTTTGTTCAAATGAATGACCTTGACCCACTTTCAAGGTCAGTGGGGTCAGATGTCTTAAAATCTTCAAACAACTCTTCTCAATAACCAAAAAGGCCCAGGGTACTGATATTTGGCCTGTAGCATGCTGGGATGAAGGGCTACCAAGTTTGTTATAATGAATGACCTTGACCAATTTTCAAGGTCACAGGGGTAAAATGTCATAAAATCTTCAAACAACTTCTTCTCAATAACCAAAAGGGCCATGGTACTGAAATTCGGCCTGTAGCATGCTGGGATGAAGGACTACCAATTTTGTTCAAATGAATTACCTTGACCAGCTTTCAAGGTCACAGGGGTCTAATGTCGTAAAAATTTCAAACAACTTCTCAATAACCAAAAGGCCCAGGGTACTGATATTGGGCCTGTAGCATGCTGGGATAAAGGGCTATCAAGTTTATTCAAATGAATGACCTTGACCAACTTTCAAGGTCACAGGGGTCAAATGTTGTAAAATCTTCAAGCGACTTCTTCTCAATAACCAAAACGCCCAGGGTACTGATATTAGGCCTGTAGCATGCTGGGATGAATGACTACAAAGTAAGTTCAAATGAATGACTTAGACCCACTTTCAAGGTCAAAGGGGTCAAATGTTGTAAATTCTTCAAACGACTTCTTCTCAATAACCAAAAGGCCCAGGGTACCGATATCTGGCCTGTAGCAATCAGGGCTACCAAATTTGTTCAAATGAATGACCTTGACCCACTTTCAACCTAATGTCATTGTTTGACATTCAAGGTCACACTGATAATCTGCCTGTAGCTGTATTTTAGTCCACTTTTAAGATTACAAGTGTGAGATTAATACCAGGTGAGCGATGCAGGCCCATTGGGCCTCTTGTTTATAGGATGTCAGCTAACCACTCTTAGAATGATGCAGATCTTATTTCAATGTAAGAAAGTATATAACACTATATGGCATCCAACGGGTGTATATTTTTCCGCCCCTTGGCACTCTTGTTAACAGAATCAAAACTATTGATTGGATTTAATATGAAGTGTAGATGCCATATGCAAAGTTCTCAAGGAAAAGTAGACAGAATGAGTACACAAGTGTACAGCAGGTACAACCAACTCCCGGTGTAGTACCCGGTGTTGGTTCTCACTTATGTGTTGGTTCCCTTAGATCCCCTGTACCCTCCAGTACAAGGACACGGCCACTCATCCCCCTGTGTCTGGTTCTCACTGATGTATTTCTTCCCTTAGATCCCCTGTACCCTCAAGTACCAGGAAACGGCCACTCATCCCCCTGTGTCTGGTTCTCACTTATGTGTTGGTTCCCTTAGATCCCCTGTACCCTCCACTACCAGGACACGGCCACTCATTCCCCTGTGTCTGGTTCTCACTGATGTGTTGGTTCCCTTAGATCCCCTGTCCCCTCCACTACCAGGACACGGCCACTCATTCCCCTGTGTCTGGTTCTCACTGATGTGTTGGTTCCCTTAGATCCCCTGTACCCTCCAGTACCAGGACACGGCTGCTCATCCCTCTGTGTCTGGTTCTCACTGATGTATTTCTTCCCTTAGATCTCCTGTACCCTCCAGTACCAGGACACGGCCACTCATCCCCCTGTGTCTGGTTCTCACTGATGTGTTGGTTCCCTTAGATCCCCTGTACCCTCCAGTACCAGGAAACGGCCACTCATCCCCCTGTGTCTGGTTCTCACTGATGTTTTTGTCCCCTTAGATCCCTGTTCCCTCCAGTACCAGGACACGGCCACTTATCCACATGTGTCTGGTTCTCACTGATGTGTGTATTGGTTCCCTTAGATCCCCTGTACCCTCCAGTACCAGGAAACGGCCCCTCATCCCCCTGTGTCTGGTTCTCACTGATGTGTTGGTTCCCTTAGATCCCCTGTCCCCTCCAGTACCAGGACACGGCTACTCATCCCCCTGTGTCTGGTTCTCACTGATGTGTGTCTTTGTTCCCTTAGATCCCCTGTCCCCTCCAGTACCAGGACACGGCCACTCATCCCCCTGGGTCTGGTTTTCACTGATGTATTTCTTCCCTTAGATCCCCTGTACCCTCCAGTACCAGGACACAGCCACTCATCCCCCTGTGTCTGGTTCTCACTGATGTATTTCTTCCCTTAGATCTCCTGTACCCTCTAGTACCAGGACATGGCCACTAATCCCCCTGTGTCTGGTTCTCACTGATGTATTGGTTCCCTTAGATCCCTGTTCCCTCCAGTACCAGGACACAGCAAATCATAACCCTGTGTCTGGTTCTCACTGTTGTATTCGTTCCCTGAGATCCCCTGTACCCTCCATTATCAGGACACGGCCACTCATCTCCCTGTGTGTGGTTCTCACTGATGTGCACCTTTGTTCCCTTAGATCCCCTGTGCCCTCCAGTACCAGGACACGGCTACTCATCCCCCTGTGTCTGGTTCTCACTGATGTATTTCTTCCCTTAGATCCCCTGTACCCTCCAGTACCAGGACACGGCTACTCATCCCCCTGTGTCTGGTTCTCACTGATGTGTTGGTTCCCTTAGATCCCCTGCACCCTCCAGTACCAGGAAACGGCCACTCATCCCCCTGTGTATGGTTCTCACTGATGTTTTTGTCCCCTTAGATCCCTGTTCCCTCCAGTACCAGGACACAGCAAATCATAACCCTGTGTCTGGTTCTCACTGTTGTATTCGTTCCCTGAGATCCCCTGTACCCTCCATTATCAGGACACGGCCACTCATCTCCCTGTGTGTGGTTCTCACTGATGTGCACCTTTGTTCCCTTAGATCCCCTGTACCCTCCAGTACCAGGACACGGCCACTCATTCCCCTGTGTCTGGTTCCCACTGATGTATTAGTCCCCTTAGATCCCCTGTACCCTCCAGTACCAGGAAACGGCCCCCCATTCCCCTGTGTCTGGTTCTCACTGATGTATTAGTCCCCTTAGATCCCCTGTACCCTCCAGTACAAGGACACGGCTGCTCATCCCCCTGTGTCTGGTTCTAACTGATGTATGTATTGGTTCCCTTAGATCTCCTGTACACTCCAATACCAGGACACGGCCACTCATCCCCCTGTGTCTGGTTCTAACTGATGTATTAGTTCCCTTAGATCCCCTGTACCCTCCAGTACCAGGAAACGGCCACCCATCCCCCTGTGTCTGGTTCTCACTGATGTATTGGTCCTCTTAGATCCCCTGTACCCTCCAGTACCAGGACACGGCCACTCATCCCCCTGTGTCTGGTTATCACTGATGTGTGTATTGGTTCCCTTAGATCCCCTGTTCCCTCCAGTACCAGGACACGGCCACTCATGCACCTGTGTCTGGTTATCACTGATGTGTGTATTGGTTCCTTAGATCCCCTGTCCCCTCCAGTACCAGGAAACGGCCACCCATTCCCCTGTGTCTGGTTCTCACTGATGTATTAGTCCCCTTAGATCCCCTGTACCCTCCAGTACAAGGACACGGCCACTCATCCCCCTGTGTCTGGTTCTTACTGATGTGTGTATTGGTTCCCTTAGATCCCCTGTTCCCTCCAGTACCAGGACACGGCCACTCATGCACCTGTGTCTGGTTATCACTGATGTGTGTATTGGTTCCTTAGATCCCCTGTCCCCTCCAGTACCAGGAAACGGCCACCCACCCCCCTGTGTCTGGTTCTCACTGATGTATTTCTTCCCTTAGATCTCCTGTACCCTCCAGTACCAGGACACGGCCACTCATTCCCCTGTGTCTGGTTCTCACTGATGTATTAGTCCCCTTAGATCCCCTGTACCCTCCAGTACAAGGACACGGCCACTCATCCCCCTGTGTCTGGTTATTACTGATGTGTGTATTGGTTCCCTTAGATCCCCTGTACCCTCCACTACCAGGACACGGCCACTCATTCCCCTGTGTCTGGTTCTCACTGATGTATTAGTCCCCTTAGATCCCCTGTACCCTCCAGTACAAGGACACGGCCACTCATCCCCCTGTGTCTGGTTCTTACTGATGTGTGTATTGGTTCCCTTAGATCCCCTATTCCCTCCAGTACCAGGACAAGGCCACTCATCCCCCTGTGTCTGGTTCTCACTGATGTATTGGTCCTCTTAGATCCCCTGTACCCTCCAGTACCAGGACACGGCCACTCATTCCCCTGTGTCTGGTTCTCACTGATGTATTAGTCCCCTTAGATCCCCTGTACCCTCCAGTACAAGGACACGGCCACTCATCCCCCTGTGTCTGGTTATTACTGATGTGTGTATTGGTTCCCTTAGATCCCCTATTCCCTCCAGTACCACTTAGATCCCCTGTACCCTCCAGTACCAGGACACAGCCACTCATCCCCCTGTGTCTGGTTATCACTGATGTATTGGTTCCCTTAGATCCCCTGTACCCTCCACTACCAGGACACGGCCACTCATCCCCCTGTGTCTGGTTATCACTGATGTGTTGGTTCCCTTAGATCCGCTGTACCCTCCAGTACCAGGACACGGCTGCTCATCCCCCTGTGTCTGGTTCTAACTGATGTATGTATTGGTTCCCTTAGATCTCCTGTACACTCCAATACCAGGACACGGCCACTCATCCCTCTGTGTCTGGTTCTAACTGATGTATTAGTTCCCTTAGATTCCCTGTACCCTCCAGTACCAGGAAACGGCCACCCATCCCCCTGTGTCTGGTTCTCACTGATGTATTGGTCCTCTTAGATCCCCTGTCCCCTCCAGTACCAGGACACGGCCACTCCTCCCCCTGTGTCTGGTTCTTACTGATGTATTAGTCCCCTTAGATTCCCTGTCCCCTCCAGTACCAGGACATGGCCACTCATCCCCCTGTGTCTGGTTCTCACTGATGTGTGTATTGGTTCCCTTAGATCCCCTATTCCCTCCAGTACCAGGACAAGGCCACTCATCCCCCTGTGTCTGGTTATCACTGATGTGTGTATTGGTTCCCTTAGATCCCAATACCAGGACACGGCCACTCATCCCCCTGTGTCTGGTCCTAACTGATGTATTAGTTCCCTTAGATCCCCTGTTCCCTCCAGTACCAGGACACGGCCACTCATGCACCTGTGTCTGGTTATCACTGATGTGTGTATTGGTTCCTTAGATCCCCTGTCCCCTCCAGTACCAGGAAACGGCCACCCACCCCCCTGTGTCTGGTTCTCACTGATGTATTGGTCCTCTTAGATCCCCTGTACCCTCCAGTACCAGGACACAGCCACTCATCCCCCTGTGTCTGGTTCTAACTGATGTATGTATTGGTTCCCTTAGATCTCCTGTACACTCCAATACCAGGACACGGCCACTCATCCCCCTGTGTCTGGTTCTTACTGATGTGTGTATTGGTTCCCTTAGATCCCCTATTCCCTCCAGTACCAGGACAAGGCCACTCATCCCCCTGTGTCTGGTTATTACTGATGTGTGTATTGGTTCCCTTAGATCCCAATACCAGGACACGGCCACTCATCCCCCAGGGTCCGATTCGCACTGATGTATTGGTTCCCTTATATTCCCTGTACCCTCCAGTACCAGGACATGGCCACTCATCCCCCAGTGTCTGTTTCTCACTGATGTATTGGTTCCCTTATATTCCCTGTACCCTCCAGTACCAGGACACAGCCACTCATCCCCCTGTGTCTGGTTCTCACTGATGTATTTCTTCCCTTAGATCCCCTGTACCCTCCACTACCAGGACACGGCCACTCATCCCCCAGTGTCTGATTCTCACTGATGTATTGGTTCCCTTATATCCCCTGTACCCTCCAGTACCAGGACACGGCCACTCATCCCCCTGTGTCTGGTTCTCACTGATGTATT